GTAAAAATGGGAGTTCATAACCCACTTGAATCAAATATATGAAATATGATATGTCAAGAACTATGTAATGTTTTAAACAGCCAATAATAAAAATTTTAAAATTTTAAAAAGGAAAATTTTGTCTGTGTATATATACACACACACATTCACACACACACACACACACACACACACACACTCATACCAAAGTGAGGAAGAAGTGTTTGTAACATTACAGTAATTTCTCTGACTTCCCATATGGACATAGCTGGTATTAATAGTAACCTTCTTCCACTACCCATTCCATGTATCATTTGCCCTCATCAAGTACTGCTGCTGGTTATAGTTCTTTTTCTGGTAGAACCTTCATCCCTGGAAAGTCTGGATTATTGCCAGTTCTGCCCGAATTGGAAAAAATCAATAGCTTCCCATTGACTTTAACCACAGAGGTTTGTAATACTAAGAGATGCCCCAATGTTCTCCTGTATTCCAGACATATTCCTCCTATGTCTATTATATCGTAGTAATCATTTTTCCCCTTAATAATCAGCATCAATCCCCCTCTCTGTCTGTTGAGGCATAAAGAACTCAAAATGGTTGTGTGGCAGTCCAGTTTTATGGAATCAACGTTATGTCTCCTGGTGGAACCTGCTCTTTTGGAACTAAGATATCTAGATCAACAGAGCCTAAGGTTGCAGGGATGGGAAGCAGAAAACTTCCTAGAGAGTCAGTCATTTGGGATAACAGTGAGTAGAGCTACTCCTGTTTCCACCCTTGAACCTCAATACCTGCATCCTGGCTATGGAAAGCATAACAAGCTACCTTCTCTTGGAGGCTACTATAGAGCATGTCCAGCTTTTTGGAGGACATTTCCCAGCCCTGTTAGGAATTACACTTAGTTGGTGTTGTCATGGAGTCTTCAGAAGGCCTTGCCTCTGTTTTGTTGATCCAAAGGCTTCTGTTTATAAGTTCAATGAAAGGTGGCAACAGTGTAAGACATGTTGAAGTCCTTTATGTTTTGGGTATAAATCTTTCTGTCAGAATGAAGCGGTCTAGTCTCAAATTTAGACTGTTGAGTGTACTGTTTTCATATGCACTTAGGAGAATTTCTTTATTGCAATTATAAATCTTATCTGGATTATTTGTAAGTTTGTAATTTTAAAAGTGTGAAATACTCTTTAAATTGTGTTTAATGTAAATTTTTATTTCTCTAGGCAACAATCCTTATTTCATGTTCTTGCTGCATATTCTATCTATAATACGGTAAGTCCGAGCATGCCCTATTCTTGTATTCCAAGAAGCAGGAGGTTCCTTTTGGCACCCCCTACCTAATAAGGCCCTTGTAGCCCCATTTCTTCATCCCAGGACCTTTTAGTTCTGTGGATCTTTTTATGGCTTCTGTGGTAACCCTGAGGTCTTAGAACAGAAGTGATTGGAAGTGGAAAAAACAAGATATGACCATAGTACACCAGTGAATCTCACTTTTTCTCCCCTGCTATAGATTGTTTTGTTATGTTTTATGATATTTGTTATTACTTTCAAGCAAACAGGTCAGGAATTGGGACAGTAGGACAGGAAGTTGGTGGCTAGATTAATTTTTGCTTGACTCAATAATTCTTCGATAAGTCCTAGAAGGTTGTCTTCCAGTATTATGTTTTATGTATCAGATGATATTCAGTATGAGTAGAATAAAACTAAACTTTTTAGTAATAAACATACTACTCTTAAGGCATGTACCATTCTCGGGAGAGACCTAACATGGGTGTTAAATAATACCTGTTGACAAGATTCTAGGGAGGAGAACCTTTGAACCCTTAGATGTTTGAGTTCTCTTGTAACTAAACTCTGTGCATTATAAGAGCAGAAGTCAGCTTAAACTGGGGAAATGTCAAAAGGGATTTACTAAAAGAACTTCTCATGGAAATGAAGCTATACCTGGTCTCATGGGAATTGGAGCTGAAAGGTGGGAAGCATTCAGGGAGAATAGCTATACTTTCTCCCTATCTCTGTTGGGCCACATGGTATCTCTGACTATCTCTGTGAATTGTGTATTCTACTGTGTCTGTCTCCAGATGGCTTCCTTTACCTGCTTGCTGGTTATTCCATGGCTGAAATTCCACTCACAGAATAGCATATTAATAGAGTACATAACTCCATGTGATTGTAGCCCCTCTGGCTTTGTTCACATTTCTTAGAGAGAGTAGAGTGTCTGATTAGTCCATGCAACCAATTAATTATTCTCTTGGTGTCAGGTGTCCTCATCTGGTCCATCAGCTATGGTTCCTATTACAGAAGCATGAATCACTAAGGCCATATCAAAGCAGGGACTATGAGGAGAGTGGGTAGCTCTTAGAGAGGTGTAGGTTGGTTGGACATCCAAAAAGTATCTACTTAAGGGTCCAGAAATATAGAGGAAACAAGATAGCAAACTTGGACTTGGAGGAGGAGAGAGATTGCTAGCATCTGAGCAAAGAGGAATAATCGTGAACTAAAAATCATACATAAAATGAAATAATATTGGTACTCTTTAAAGAGAGCATAACAGTATTGAACAGAAGATGATTTTATAAAAAACACTTAAACTTTGTCTACACCTGTGCATTTATTCTATGTGAGAGTTTTTATTCTTTTATCACATATGGCATTAGGCTGTAAAGATTGTAATACTTATCTTTAGAAATGTCCACTAAATAATCTATCTAGGCATTTTGTGATATCTGTAGTTGGATTCAGAACTCTAGTGTCTGTGCTTTCTTTTGCTCTTTAGGAAGTTGGGTACTGTCAGGGGATGAGCCAGATCACAGCTCTACTCCTCATGTATATGAATGAGGAAGATGCCTTCTGGGCCCTGGTCAAACTCTTCTCGGGCCCCAAACATGCCATGCATGGTAAGAACATCCATATGTTATCATAAGCAATAAATCAGAGAGGATAAAAGGTAAATGAAAACAAAGTCAAAGATGCCTGGTAGAATTAGTACAACAAACTTAATGTCTCAGAGCTTGTTCAGTTGGTGTTTGTTTCTATTTCTTTTGGTTTTTATTATTAAACTTTTTTCTAACTTTTTCAGTTCACACTGATTTTTCTTTGTCATTTCCCCAAAGTATATTGTTGGTATTTTAAAATTTTTTAATTTTTTTACTTGCCCTCAGTCAGAAGAAACTAATTCAGGTTTGGAGGAATTTAGGAAAAGCTATATATTATTTAGAAGAAATACAAGGTACCTTTTGATCAAAACTTTTAGATAGTCATGCAGTTACCATTTCAATTAAATATTACCATTGACTGGATATTGTGATGTATAACTTCTTGTCAAAGAATATTAACTGAGAAATTACATGACATTTAAAGGAAAAGTACATAATAACACAGTAGTTTCATATTTCAAGTGTGGTTTTTAGATCTTCCAGCCATAAATTTTGTTCCATTTTAAGTAAATGGCTGATGACACGTTTTGGGCACTAGATTGTTTAATATTCCAAAACATGCATAGTTTTTGGTTTTCAGATTAGCAGATTGTTTTTAATGACCTTTTCCTAATATTTGCCAAGCATGTTCATTAAATTTTATTTTGGAGAGTATTGATTGCCTCTTGTTTTGGAAATAAAAGTGGCATTTATATTAAGGCAAAGTTATTTTTTCCAATTCATTTATATGGTAGTATCAAATTAAAACTTGTAATGCCAATTACTCTTAAGAATGAATCACCTACGTTCACTTTGTGAATATTTATGCTCTATATTGTGGGGACCTTCCATGGAAAATGCTATTTTAACGTTTTCAAAGTTATGGCCTTCCACAGTCCATTGTATATTAAATCTGACAAACTTAGCAAGTGACTTTTGTGGGAATGTTGTGTGTGGAGGGGTGTGAGGGGTGTGTGCATGTGTGTATGTGTGTTTGCTTTAGTCTATCAGTGTTTCTTGCCAATTGTTTTAACACATGTTAACAGTTTCTGGACTCCAAATGTAAGATATATTATTATGTTAAGTTGACATTCAATAGGCAGTATCATTTAAAAAGACATCTTGAGGAAAAAGAACTCTTCCTTATTAGTCTTTATTTTGCTTCCCCATGCAGTGGTATTGCTGATTTGTCTTGAGTGCAATGAAGTATACAATTTAAGTGATATATAATTATGTAGAAGCCTATCTAATTTTAGAAAATAATCATTTCTTTTAAATCTATTTGCTAGCAATATTGTCACCAATCTAATCTGTAAAGCAATTCTATCCTAACATTTATTCTTTTAGTGAAGTATAGGTCATTTTTATGGGTGAGTTTATACTTAGAAATATTTGTTTCTATGCCTGCTTATGAAGTTTTATCTAAAGTACCCTCTATCTTTTGCATTTCCTTTATTAAAGTGGTATCACTTGTAAATATGTGGAATCAAAGGTAAGGCTAGAAAAGATAAGATTTAAAATACTGAGCCTGGAATATCACTGAAAAATGAAGAAATATTAGATATCTTTGTATCACTGAGCTAGTTAATATTGAAGTGCATTGACTTTTTCAAAAAAATCATACTTGAAAATTTTCCAACTCCCATTCTTGTCAAATTGACTATGAAAATGGCACTGATAGATAAAGATTTTTTTTTATGAAATCATTTCACTGGAAAATATTACTGAGAGAAGAATAGAATCTCTATTTCTGGAAATTTTTACACATACCTTCAAAAACTGAGCAATAGTTAACAGAGAATTCTGCTCAGATTGTAAAGCAGTGTTTCCCAGTAGTGTGTTCCTGAAGTTCTTGAAGGAACAAAGTTTTGTTTTTTTGAAACAGATGTTTTGTAGGAAAAAAATAGACTCCAAGTTCAGATAAGTCTGGGAGATTGAGATAAGCAAAGCAAAATGTTTCATGAAATCTAAAAGATGTTAATTAATAGGTTAATATACATCATAAATATCCAAAACCAACATGTAACATACACTGTTTACCTCAAGTTCTTTTTTAAAAGCATAAAAAATCTATTAACATCTTTTAAAGTTGCTTAGAAACCGGTTGGAAAACACTAGGGTGGAGAAATAAGAGTCCACTGAATTTATATCTTTTAAAATATATCTGAAAGGAACCTTGTGAATAAAAATAGATGTATAAAGTTCAATGAGTTAAATATATAAATTAATACTAACTTAACCATTTATAACTAAACATCTTACAGATTATATTGTATAATCAATTGGATTAAAATATGATTTTTGATATAACATTGTTTTAGCTTATGTTAAATATAGCTTATAGAAAGTGTTTGAAATTGTTAAAGTAAACTTGAAAATGTAAATAAATGTTTATGTAATACATTAACAGTAAAACCAAATGATAAGTAGTTAAGATTAGAACTATAAAAAATTTAATCATTTAAGATATGGCCAAAGGTCTTAAAAAGAACACAGAATCTTGATTAATAACCTCAGTTTTCTTTTCTTTTCTTTTCTTTTTTTTTTTTTTTTTGGTTTTAGTCTACTAGTTTTACCTTTAATTCAGAAATATTCTGCCTTTTACAGAAAATATATTTTATAAAAATATAGGTGAATGTTAACAACAAATCCTAGCTAAAAGTCTCATTACCCAAAAGTTTGTGTACAATTATGGTTTTGGTGGGAAGGAAAATTATCTTGGTAAGTACTAGGTATTTCCTTTTTCTTTTGATAGGAATGAAAGAAATGTGTTGCATTTTTAAATTTGTATGTTTTGTGGATATTGTTTCTAAAGTACTGTTTTTATGTTTGTATTATAGGCTTTTTTGTCCAAGGTTTCCCTAAACTCTTGAGGTTTCAAGAACATCATGAAAAAATACTGAATAAATTTCTGTCCAAGCTTAAGCAACATTTGGTAGGTAGATGTGACACTGACTTATGAAGCTACAGTGTATTTGGTCTTTGGCCTCAGTTAACTCATTAATTTATAGTGTCATCCATTTCATTTACTAAACAGTTACAATTCCCAGTTTGATAAACATTAGATCTGTAAAATTTAATATTGATGATCTATCACAGTTTTAATTAATAGATTCAGATTTCTGTGAAGCTTATAAGCAGAAACAATGAAGTTTTTAAATGATATATGATTTCTTAGTTACTTTGGAGGGTTTTGAATTGTACAAAAAGTATTTTAAGGGTCTTACAAACTCATTCCTCATGAACTATATGTGTGCTTTACTATAAGATATAATACTTTAGTAAAACAAAGATAGTTAATTGTAAAATATATTAGTGAAAATAAATGTATTACATTCCTTTCATGAGAAATTTATTCTGGGGTTAATCTTGAAAGGTAAAATTTTGGGGGAAAAAGTAAGAATAGGAAAAGATATCAAGAAAAAGGTTGTAAAGAGATTTTTTTTTTCCTTAAATATCTTTATTTTATTTATTTATTTTCATGTGATGCTGAGGCTTGAACCCAGTGCCTCACATGTACTAGGCAAGCACTCTGCAACCCCAGCCCCAAAAGGTGTTTTTTTTTTATGTTTATCTTTGACAGCTATCTCCAATATCCTTCCTAATTTTGTGTATTGTATTGTCATATTCTGTTGGTTACAATCCAGAAATTGTGAGATCTTTGTTTTTTCAGGATACTCAAGAAATCTACACGAGTTTTTACACAATGAAATGGTTTTTTCAATGTTTCCTTGATCGTGTAAGTATTTACTTACAAAACTCTATCATAAAATTCTGATCACAAGGTGAGGCAAACTGTTAATCTTTCTTCTGTTTTGTTTTGCTTTTCTTTACAGACTCCCTTTACTCTAAACCTCAGAATATGGGATATCTACATCTTTGAAGGAGAACGAGTTCTTACTGCCATGTCTTACACAATCTTAAAATTACACAAAAGTAAGAAAATGTTTTAACTGAAGATTTCATAAAAATCAAGACTTGTTTTAACTTTGATGTGTCAGTCCCCACTGGGCTCCTCATCCATTGTCTCCATGATAGTATAAAAAAGTCCTTGAGAATCAGTGGAGAAGTTATCTTCAGTTGGTAGTTTACTTTCTGTGGTTCTTTTTTCTATTAGAGCTGTGTATGGCAAAGATCTTGGATTCTTTTCTCCTTATAACAGTTTGACTGGAGTGGTAGAATGAAATTTGTTGGTTTCACTAATAATGATATTCTAAAATATTGGTTTTCACTGGATCTTCTCTTTTTTAATTAATTTTTTATTTATATATGACAGCAGAATGCATTACAATTCTTATTACACATATAGAGCACAACTTTTCATATCTGTGGTTGTACACAGAGTATATTCACACCAATTTGTGTCTTCATACATGTACTTTGAATAATAATGATCATCATATTCCACCATACTTCTAACTCTATGTTCACTGGATCTTCTTGTTCTTTTCATTGATCTGAATTTCAAGTTTGTAATAGAACAGAAAGAGCTTTAGCCTCATGATTTAAGGTTGCTACAGAAACTATTTCTATTACTGTTTCCTTCATTTAGGAAAAAGAGCTTCCAGCTCCAAGTTGTAGATGGGGAAGTTATAGATCAACTCTGCTTGACTGTGTCATGACCTCTTAGGCAAGTAAAGGCAGTGTCTGTAGTTGCATAAATGTAGCAAGGATTGTTTTTTTAAAACAAAATAACAAAACACATTTTAGACTCAGTTGCAGTATTTCAAGGGCTTTGTAAATTGAGTTGCTATGCCTTACTTTAAAATTAAGAAATGAGATTTTCTTCATGAATGTGAAGAATAATATTCACTTTAAAGTCTCAGTTCAACTGTAAGCATTTTGTGACTCTTCTTAAAACTATACAGAAGTGTGAATCACTGAAAGCTTTAGAACTTTATATAGTACTTCTAATCTAGACCATACCACATAATTTCACGTTCCACGTATACTCTGCTCTGTCATGTTGTCCTTCAATGATCTCCTTAGCATCCCATCTGCAGTAGGAGCCAGTTGAGTGTATGAGGTTATGTTTATGGTTTTTCTCTCTATTGTGCTTGGTATTCTAAGTACATGCTAGATGTAAGATTGTTTTGTTATTTATCTGAACAGAGTGGACTTCAGGAGGGTCAGATTAACCACACTTTTACCTAGGAATAAGAATGCCCATTAGGGCTGGGGATGTGGCTCAAGCGGTAGTGCGCTCGCCTGGCATGCGTGCGGCCTGGGTTCGATCCTCAGCACCACATACGAACAAAGATGTTTGTGTCCGCCGAAAACTAAAAAATAAAAAAAAAATTAAAAAAAAAAGAATGCCCATTATAAGATACCTTTGTATTGTTTACTCTTTTCAAGAAAAGGATTCAGAAGCGTGGTGATTCTTTTCCCTTGTATTCAGGCTCTGTTTCCTCAACACACAGACTAAAGCACCACGACAAAACCTTTGACAACAAATTGCTATCCAAGACCCAGGGTTCTGTCTTATACCCAGGTGAAATCCCTCTTTCCTCTCTTCCTGTCTCTCCTCCATTTCAGTTACTTCCTTTCTCTCTGGATTATAAATAAAATAGGTGTGGAACAAAAATAAAATTTTTATTAAGAGATATCAATGTTCCCTAAACAGTGTAAAAGTAGAAACATATTTCTTTGTAGCTCTTTTTTCTTCTTAAATTGTTTTTATTTATATGACCCTTGATTAATTTTGACAAGTAAAAAGTTTCTTTACCCTTTGTGAATAAACTTTAAGCACAACAATTACTTTATATACTAGCATATTATTAGACTAAATAAACTGTAGAAAAATCTCTCTACTGCTCTATAATTTTTTTTGCAGGGCGGGGGGGCGGGGGACGGGCTAGGGAAACAAAGCTCAAGGGCTTAAACTAATTTCCTTCATCACCATGTGAAGCCTGAAAACCTGAATGGTAGTTGAGAGACAGGGAGGATGGAGAGATATTACCAAGAGGTAAAAAAGTTTCAGCTGGACAGAAGGAATGGTTCTGGAGATCTGTTGTACAGCCTAGTGACTGAAACTAATAATATTAGTGAATATTTGAAAACTGCAAAGTAGGTAGACTTTCAGTGTTCTCATTACAAAAATAAATATGTTTGATGGATATGTTAATTAGGTTGGTCTAATCATTCCACAATGTTATACATACACCAAATTATCTTTGAAGATGATTTTATAATAGACCATATTTTACACCTTAAATACATACAATTTTTTATTTGTCAATTAAAAAAGAAAAACTTTTTTGGGACACTTACTCAGTGGTTAAGAGGTTTTTTTCTTTTTTCTCTTTCTTCCACATTGCCTTAATATTTAGAGACACTGTTACTAGAGGTTCATGGCAAAGTGGTTTTAAATAGCAAAAAATAAGAAACAATCTGAATGTCCATAACTAGAAGACTAATTAGCAAATTACAATGCATTCATTACATTGCACTATTATATCACTTCAAATAATTATGGTATAAAATCATATCTGTCGAAGTGAGAGATATCAGTGATATATTATTGAGTGGGAACAAAGCAAGGTGAATAACTTGGTAAATATCATTTAGTTTTGTGAATTGATACACATATGCACATGTTAATATACATACCTGTGAGTAGGGTATTGGGTAGGATCTTAGTGGGTTTTTATTTTCCAATTTATGTCTGTAGTTTGAAACTTTTTCTAATGAAACTATTTTCATAAGCAGAAATAAACTCTACAAATTAATAATCTCTTTTAAAAAAGTTCTGAACCACTAATAAATACAGACTTAGAAGTGGATTTGCCTTTGACAGTTGGAGCTTTAAATCAATAAAAGAGAAAGGCCTCATGTCTTCCTGGGTGCCTTTCTATGTCTGTTGTCTCAGAGAAGCTCTTACTCTGGGTTACTATTAATGCCTATATATTATTACTCTTAAACCAATGAGAAGGTGTTTGACAGTATATGCCAGCTCCTCTTTCTCCCCAGTAAGATTATCCTGCATTTCTCTGTGACCATTTCAGTATTAGAAAAAAATTTATTTTAACATTCACAAGGCCATGTGAAATTTATTTATGTTTTTTCAATGCCCTTTTTAAAAATGTGCTATACCAAATAGAATGTATTATCTTTTCAACCTAAAGTAATTGTTTACTTAGCATTTGCATTTCTGTCATCCTTTCTTAGAACATCTAATGAAATTATCTATGGAAGAACTTGTAGAATTTCTTCAGGAGACTCTAGCAAAGGATTTTTTCTTTGAAGATGATTTTGTAATAGACCAACTTCAGATTTCTATGGCAGAACTAAAGCGGGCGAAATTAGACCTCCCAGAACCTGGTAAGAAATACTCCAATATTTTACATCTAAATTATAATTAAGATTGGAAGACATGGCACAATTAACATGGATTATTTCTTTTCCATAGCACAAGCATAATACTCTTGAAGAAATAATATAAGTGAATGCCTTACCTACTGTCTTTAGCTTTTTTAAAAAATTTATTTTAAAGAAAAAGCAAGTAAACATTAAATCTACATCTCCTAATGGAACAACTGTACTATTGACAAATAATATTAATTTTCAGAAGTAACTATGGTGTTATTTAAACTAATATAACAATAAGCACTTTTTACTTTCATCATCTCATTTTATAAAACTGTACAATAGTTTTATAAAATGGTTGACAAATAATATTAATTTTCAGAAGTAACTATGGTGTTATTTAAACTAATATAACAATAAGCACTTTTTACTTTCGTCATCTCATTTTATAAAACTGTACAATAGCAGAGCAAGTAAAGTCCCACTTTACAGATGAGAAAATTCAAACTTAAATAGGAAGCTACAGAACTTCCAAATTGCATTAACAAGAGTAGAGTCTGGACTTTCTGATTACCAATCCAGGGCTCTTGTAGGTAATATATTTTATTCACTTACTTCAAAACATTCCAGGACCTACTGTTAGGCTTTCTGCTGGGGAATCCTCTGAGAATTTGAAAACTTAAGAGAAAAATGTGTTCTTGCTTTCAGGTGCACTCAGTTGAGATTATTTACACAGATGATAACAAAGTGAATGGAGCAGTAATAATAGAGCTAGGTGAAAGATAAATGGTAACGGTAGGGGAGCTTGAGAGGGAGAGAAAAGAAAATGTAGAAAGATCACAGTAGGAGTAATTTTAAGAGTTTTGACCAGTTAGTACTTAACAATGTATGATATCCTGAGAAAAAGTTATTTTTTCCTCTTTCACCTTTGTTGCAGTGGAGGGTATGGTAAAAGGGTAGGGCAGTGGAAGATCATGGGCAAGAGATAAAAAGTTATTTTCGCTCTCAGGTAGAGGTGAATTTGGCATTTCCTGATCCTTCTGTCATCAAGGATGTATCTGTACAGAAGGAAAACAGAATTGCATTAATGGAAAATACATTTCCCCTTCAGTAAAAAATTAAGATGTTCTGATTTTACTTACTTAATTGAGAAGGGTTTAATCAGTGCTTCTGTGAGGTTTGGGATCATCAGGATTGACTAGAAAACAACCCCTCACAGCATACAGTTAGGTTGAGCATAGGCCTCGTGAAACTATCGCCTTTACTAAGTGAGGTGAACCCACCTTATTCAGTATAATTATGTCTGTTTTCTACTAATTCTTTCCTGTAGTAGGAAATGCATTTGGAGCAGCAATTACTATACTCTTGCTATTGTGATGCTTATTTTTTCAATGTATTGTCCACTTTTAAAAAGAATTTAATGCAAGTTTTAGTAAAATACACACATAAGGAAAAAAAATTGCAACTATTTAAACCTGAGATTAAAATTTAAAACCTGTGTAATGGAAGCAGGATGGTGATAATGATTTAGCATCTAATTAGTAGCTAGTATTTTGCAAAATGTTACTGTGTGGCACATACTATAGGGACTCCCTCATCTAATCCCCAAAAATAACTCTGAAAAAGTGATTTGCCTCATTTTACAGATGAGGAAACTCAGCAGTTTATAAGAGCTTTTAACTAAGAAATGATAGAGGGCTGGGATTAAAGGGAGATGGATAAATAAGCACTGCAAGAAGTCTGGGCGATGCTTCTTGAACATCTGGCAGTGAAGAGAGCTGAAAGAAGGTGGCGCTGCCCTTTCTAGCACAGCATCTCTCCTTCTATACTGCTACTACTGGGACATGTACTTCCGGATTTTTTTGTCACTTGGCCCTCACAAATTGTGAACTACCTATGGAACATGAAGATAATGAAATGAACATTGTACTAAGAAAGTTTAATGTCACCTCTGTCCTCTTAAAAAATGTGAGCCGGGAGCAGGGCTTTGCTTTTTCTGTTTTCATACCTGTTAATTCCTCCTCATTACTTTGTGTTAGTTTGTTGGGTTTCCAGAAAGAATTCACTAGCATTTTGAGATTGCATTGATTTAAAGATTTAGGATTTCTGAGGGGAAAATAGTATTCTTATTTTTAAAACTGGGGTTTTCTACTAAAGAGCTTTTATTTTTAGTTATTTGAGACTACTCTGATAACCCTCAGTATACATTGTTTTCCTCATTTAACTGTTACGTATTTCTTACCTACTGACTCCAGCCCCTAATGATGTCCTGTGTAAAAACCTGGCCATTGACACTGTGGGTGGGTAGCTCTACCAGAGCACCATGGCTTATGGTCACATGCACAGGTTCACTTCTGTGGTTGTCATCAAGATGAGGAGAATATAGGCAGAGTAGTGGTTGGGGACCCCTGGGTTCCTCAAGGGGTGATTTTATCTTTGGCTATTATAAGTTGCATCTTTTTTTCTTCCATTTTTTTTTCTAACTAGTTAGACATTTGGCATTTTTTATATTTTTGTAGTCACTACATTGATTGTTTTCTTTGATTTGTAGATATCAATTATATCTTCAAAGGATAGTTGTTTTTCCTTTCTTTTCAGTATTCATGCTTCTTATTTTTTCAAGTCAAGAAAGTATCCAGTTATTTTTATTTTTAACTATTATTGATATTTTATATATTCATTTTGTTTGTGCATATTTTATAGTTTCTATTTAACTTTTTGAAAACATTTTATTGTGAAAGTTTTCAAACATACAAAAAGTAGACCACCTAGCCTATCACTCAGCTTATTGAATGTTTTTAAAGTGAAAATAAAGACATTAGGATACTTCACTTCTGTGTCTAAGAAACAAGGATCTTCTGCCTAACCATGGCACCTTTGTCACATCAAATAAGTAACAATGTGATTCCCCAATATTAGCTCATGCCAGTTCCTTGTTGAATGTTTCCACTTGTCCCAAGACTGCCTTTTTCGGGGTAATATCAGGGTTTGAATTCAGGGGGCACTCGACCACTGAGCCACATCTCAAGCACTATTTTGTATTTTATTTAGATACAGGGTCTCACTGAGTTGCATAGCGCCTCACTTTTGCTGAGGCTGGCTTTGAACTCTCGATCCTCCAATTACAGGTATGCACCACTGCTCCCAGCCCATACTGCCTTTTAAACTGTTTTTCTCAACAGCATTTATTTGAGAGTCACCCTTTGTGTTTGATGTGCTTCTTTAGACTCTTGACTCTTGACATGGAGCAGTGCGCCTCTCCTCTTACCCACCCCACCATACCTTTCTTCCCTCCCTCCCTTTTTTCCTTCCTTCCCTCTTTCTTTCTTATTTCACCTCTCCTTTCTCCATCTTGTTCCTTCTCCTTCTCCCCTTCTGTCCATCAGTCAGTCTGTCCTTCCTTCCCTCCCATTGCCATAGAGGTCTGTTCAGTCATCATGTATAATGTCCCACATTCTGGAGTTGTCTGATATTTTTCACAATGTCATTTAACTTGTTCCCCTAGAGTCTGTATGTCCTGCAATCTAGAAGTTAGATATAGCAATTTAATTAGACTCATATTAAACAGAAGGTACATAGTGACTAGGGTTTTTTGTTGTTGTTGTTGTTGTTGCTGTTTGTTTGTTTTATTGTGAATGATTCTGAGTTTGGCAATTAGGACCAGATTACTTTTTGCTGTTGTTGTTGTTGTTGTTGTTGATGATGGACACATCACAATGCCTTTATTTTTTTTATGTGGTGCTGAGAATTGAACCCGGGTCCCTCCCATGCTAAGGGAGCGCTTTACCGCTGAGCCACAAACCCAGCCCAGGACCAGATTACTTTAATTAAAATTTTTAATTAGAAAATTTTATTTTAAAAAATACCTTTTCAATTAGCAAGTAATCTGTGGCAAAATATTGTGACATTGTTCAGATACCCAGTTTTCTTTAATCTTTCCCTTGATACTTCTAGCTTTCATTGATTATCCTTGCCTAAATTAAATTTTGGGGCACACTTTCTGTAACAAAGAACTTTTCCTCCTTTATCAACTGTAGCTTTTTAATTACCTTAAATTGTAATTCCTACTGAAAAGCTAGAATAAATGCTTAATTTCTTTTCTTACTGATCTTTTCCTCCTCTGTTCTATTCAAATGTAACTGGTGGCAGAGCTTTGGTGAATTAGTGAAAGTCATCTTGGTTAGAAATCCTGTGTTTCTCTACTGTGCCTGCCAATTTGGCCAAAAATTTTAGCTTATGGCATATATAGAAGAATCAAGAGAAGATTTTTTTTCTTAGAATAATTAAGAACCACTTTCAAATTTATCTTTTAAGTACCAGAAAATATGAAACTGAAGAAATCTTTTTAAGTGAACATTTTGTTGCTTTTGGCTCTGATACATGTGCTTTTTTCCCCTAGAGAAATTTGGATTTTTTTTTTTTTTTGTTTATAGAAAATGAACTTTGCTGGCTTTCATATTGTAGTTTTCTTTATAGGTCTTTTGTACTGGTAGTGACAAGTTTTGATTGGAACATAGGAAGAAGACACTCACTTGTGCTCACAGTAGTGCTATTCATGCAGCACAATTTGAAATTATTTCATGCTCAGTTCCAGAGAACTGCTTTGTCTCAGTCCTGCTCTGGTCTCCGCTTCCCTCCCTATTCCTTCCATCCCTTTTTTCTTCACTGGTTTCTTTTCTTGAGCTAATCTTTAAAATTAGCTACATAAAGTTATTTATCTTGTGCTCTGTCCTTGGGCAGTTCAGTTTCCCAGGAAGAGCAATCTTAGAAGATATCCAAGTCTGTATGTCTATTCAACATCTTGGTCCTGGGAACTGAGTTCCAACCTGTTTTGCCAATACTGTAATTGAGCGTCTTAACCTGCCTTCCTCTCAGATACTGCAAACTGGATGTCAATATGAGTAAGCTGTCTTTCTACCCAATCTCGGAAGCTTCCCCTATTTCTCTTACATATTTCCTGTTGTCACAAAGTGGTCAACATCCATCTTTTTCTTCTGTTCCTGCCTCTACTTCCT